CTGGCTCCGGGTCATGAGTTTCCCCATCTCCTGGGAGAGCCTGCAGGTCAGCTGGGAGCTGCGTTGTTTTTGTTTGTGGTTTTGCAGGGGGTGGGGTGGGGGGGGGGCGCCCGGCCTGAGAAACTCCCCGCTGAGAAGCCCCCGGAAGCACCTGTGCGTTCTCTTCCCCTGGCCCAGTGTGAACGAAAGGTTAGCAAGGAGGGGGGTTTCTCTTGCTTGTCTCATGCCTGCGGGGAGAGGCTGTCCCGGGGACGAATTTTATCCGGTAAGTCCGCCGACTGCGGACCCCCTAGGTCTGGGATCCAGACACTTTGTGGTAGGCTCGCCAAAAGGGGACAGGGGCCTTTCGAAAGGACACCTGAGTAGGGGAGATCGGCAGCCTTCTGGTTGGTTTTTCCTGTTCTCATTTCCTGTGATGGCAGTGGGGGAGGGGCTCCCCAGCACTGGGGCCTCTGCATCGTTTCCCCTTCCTCCTGGTGACCTCCTGGGGCCCAGGCCTGAGCACTGTAGGACACAGACAAGGTACAAGGTAGCCCAGCCCTCAGGACTGAGTCCTTTGGGGATTGCCAAGGGTGGCCGAGGCATTTAGGGGAAGGAGCCCCAAGTCCGAGGCCAGCCAGGCTGTGGGAGGCTCTGTGGTTGAGACCCTCCAAAGGGGAAGACACAGTAAGCTCTGTGTCCTGACGTGGCCCATGTCACCAAGCTACAAACAGGAGAGAGTGGAACATCTTGACCGGTCAGTTTCACTAAGAGTTGCGTGTGTGGTTGGTTGGTGGGTTGGTTTGTTTGTTTGTTTTAAGGGGAAACAAACAATCTCCATAGGAAGTTAAGTCAAACAAACGGGGTTAGATATTGGAGGAGAGACACCATGTAGATGGGTTTTTAAAACCAAAACAGGAGTTGTTAGAGAAGCAGGAAGCACTGCCAGGCCTGGAGGCAGGGGACTTCGGTGGGGCGGGGGTTTCTGAGGGAAAGTCTGAGCGGCTCTGTCACAGGAGAGGAGGGGCTCTGGAAAGTCCTGTGTCTGGGAATCGGGGCCAGTGTCAAAGCCAGCCTGTTTCCCGGAGTGCCCTGGTCAACCTGGCCCCGGAGAGGGAGAGGGAGAGGGAGTCTGTGTGTGTGTGCAGGGTGGTGTGTCGGTGGGTGTGCTGGGGCAGCCGGTGGTGGTGGTGGTGGTGGAGGAGGAGGAGGAG